CCGGACGCTGGCGGTGCAGGAGGAGGAAGCCAAAGGCTGATGCGTTCGCTGTGTGTCACATCCTTGGAAGCTGCCCCCGTCCTCTTTTTGGTGATTTTTCATCTTCCTGAGGCACCACTGACACCTGCTGGTAACAGAGCTGCTGACATGGCCAGAAGCTCTCCCAGAACATCTCCATCTTTTTCCCTCTGCCCTCTGGGGTTGGAAGCTCCTTCCTGGCTGCAGAATTGCTCCCATCCTGCAGCCAATAAACCTTCCAGGCTGACAGAACCCGCAGTGGATCCCACCTGAGCTGCTCGCTCTGCTGCCTGCTCCCAGAGCACGGAAAGCCAGATTCTTAGAGCCAACGTTGCTGCTTTGCTGGCGGTGCCTCTGCGGGCAGCAGGGAGCAGAGTTGGGGTGAGTCCTGTGTGATGCAGAGCGAATCACTGACACAGCTGACACCACGGCCCTTTTAACCCTGCTGGCCTCGCTCTGTGCAGTGCCTCCCAGGGAACCATCCTGGCCACCAGGGCAACGCTGCTGGCCCTGCTGGCTGCCAGGACCCCCAGATCCTTTCTGCAGAGCTCCTTTCCAGCAGCTCAGCCCCTGACCTGCACTGATGTGTGTTTGCTCCTCCCCACGCGTAGGAACCCCACGCTTGAACCTCATCAGGTTCCTCTCTGCCTGTCCACGTTTCTCTTCCCACCTTACAGACCTCCTTATCTCAGAAGCTGGGGAGGAAGAGGTGAATTTGGGGCTGGGATCACCGCAAAACGAAGCCCATCCGGCAGAAACGTCCCAGCCCTAAATCTGCCATCAGCCCCATTAGCATATGTTAATTGCTGCTGAAAAGAGATTACTCAGCCTGCCGGCGCAGCTCTCCGGCATGAAAACCATCGAGCAGCGGAGCTGGAAGGGAAATAAAACACTTGTGAAGTGTAGCTGGGGTTATTGGAGAAGCAATTAGATGACAGCATAAGCTGCAGAGCAATAAAACGGCAATGAAAACTGATAGGCTTGAAAACTTCCTCGCCCTTCAACCCCCCCCCGTTACGAATGGTTTATGTTTGTCTGCCTTTGAGAGCTCAGCACTGCCGTCCCTATGGCTCATAATTGGGAATGGCTCCTCCGGGGGGGGGGGGGGGGGCCGGGGGGGGGGGGGGGGGGCCCCCCGGGGGGGGGGGATGCGTCCCACCTGCGGTGCCAGATGATTTTTCAACTTTATACGTGCATCCCTTTTTGTAATTGCAGTAATTAAGCAGGAGCTGGAGCTGCTAACATCTCTGCCAATCGGCGGCGTTCCGGGCTGCGTTATTTATTGCTGCTCTTTTTGGGGGGGTTTTGGCACCAGGCGCCGCATCTGCTCTACCGATTTGCTCCTGGGTTGGGATTAAAGCAGAGATGCTTGGGAAGGCCGGGCTGATCCACCGAGCCCCGAAATGGAGGGGAAAAGGGGGCTTTTAGGGGAAGAGAACCAGCAAAGGTCATTTTTGGAGCTGTCAGCAGGGAGAGGAGAGGGAAAACGGCCCCGACGGTTGGAGGTGTGAATGTGGGAATGAGGAAATGCCAGCAGCAGGCCTTGCTGGGGAGGGCAGGGCTCCCCTCAGTGCTGTTGATGCTTTCCTTATCGCTGACGCTGTTTGGAGCCGCCCGGTGCTGCTGGGTTTACATTTTTTGCTTTTCTGCACTAGAAATAGCTGAGATAGTTGGCAGGTGGTGAGAGGGACGTTGGAGGTCTGGTTTTGCTGAGGAGTTCAGCTCTGAGCTCTGATCTGGACACCGTTGGTGGGCACGGAGCACCGGCTTTGCTGGGGGCTGGAGGTGGGATTCCAGGGATGGAAAACCAGGGAAAGCTGAGGGAGGAAGGCGGGATTGATGGCATCCTGGGGCTGGGTCAGGCTGTCGGGGTGGGCACGGGGTCACCTCTCAGTCCCCTTTTCCTCCTCTTGGACTCCCATCCCAATCCCTGCTCTGCCTTCCAGGGGAACACGGCGCCCAGCTGGGGCTGCACGGTGCCAGCGGGGACGGCCTGGGCGACGACAGCGCAGCGGTGGAGGAAGGGGAGACCAGCCCAGACCCACAGCCCCAGCAGGGCCGGAAGGTGCGGAGGGAAGCCTGTACCTGTCCCTACTGCAAGGACAGCGAGGGGAGGTAAGGCTGCATGTGGGGCAGCTGCTGCTGCCGGGCTCTGCTTCCCTGCCGGAGCTGCGTTTATGGGATGCATCTCATGGCCAAGGGATGGAAGCTGGCTCTTGGTCACCCGTGTGGTGTTTGGGTTTTGTTGGGTGGGAAACGCCGTCGGGGCTGTTCTGATTCCCGCCCTCGCGCTCTTGTAGGAGCTCTGGGGATCCAGGTAAAAAAAAGCAGCACATCTGCCACATCCCGGGCTGCGGGAAGGTGTACGGCAAAACCTCCCACCTGCGGGCCCACCTGAGGTGGCACACGGGGGAACGGCCCTTCATCTGCGGGTGGATGCTGTGCGGGAAGCGCTTCACCCGCTCCGATGAGCTGCAGAGGCACAAGCGCACGCACACAGGTAAGGCCTGGGGTGGGGGGCGCTGTGGGGGCACGGGGCTGCTGGGGGGGGGGGAATGGTGCAGCCAGGGAGCCCATGCGGGGGGCTCAGAGCTCTCCTTTGGGGTTTCTGTTGTGGAGAGGGGAGATAAAAGGAGGGAAAGTGGTTGGGGAATTGTTCTGTGACCTGTAAGGACCCAAATTCAAGCCCTTCCATGATTTTTCAGGACCCTTCCACCCCAACCATTCCATCCTTCTATGACCTTTCAGGACCCTTCCAATCCAACCATTCCATGGTTCTATGGCCTTTAAGGACCCTTCCAACCCAACCATTCCATCTTTCTGTGACCTTTAAGGACCCTTCCAACCCAACCATTCCATCGTTCTGTGACCTTTAAGGACCCAAATTCAAGCCCTTCTATGATTTTTCAGGACCCTTCCAACCCAACCATTCTATGTTCTATGACCTTTAAGTCCCTTCCAACCCAACCATTCCACAATTCTATGACCTTTCAGGACCCTTCCAACCCAACCATTCCATCCTTCTATGACCTTTAAGGACCCTTCCAACCCTATCATTCTATGTTCTATGACCTTTAAGTCCCTTCAAACCCAACCATTCCACAGTTCTATGACCTTTAAGGACCCTTCCAACCCAACCATTCCATCGTTCTGTAACCTTTAAGGACCCTTCCAACCATTCCATCCTTCTGTGATTTTTCAGGACCCTTCCAACCCAACCATTCCACAGTTTTATGACCTTTCAGGACCCTTCCAACCCAACAATTCCATGGTTCTGTGACCTTTAAGGACCCTTCCAACCATTCCACAGTTTTATGACCTTTAGGGACCCTTCCAACCATTCCATCCTTCTATGACCTTTAAGGACCCTTCCAACCCTATCATTCCATGTTCTGTGACCTTTAAGGACCCTTCCAACCCAACCATTCCGTTGTTCTATGGCCTTTAAGGACCCTTCCAACCCAACCATTCCATGGTTCTGTGACCTTTAAGGA